CAGTTCCACATACATTCTTTTTTTTTTTTTTTTTTTTTTTTTTTTTTTGGTTTTTTCGAGACAGGGTTTCTCTGTGGCTTTGGAGGCTGTCCTGGAACTAGCTCTTGTAGACCAGGCTGGCCTCGAACTCACAGAGATCCGCCTGCTTCTGCCTCCCGAGTGCTGGGATTAAAGGCGTGCGCCACCAACACCCAGCTCCACATACATTCTAACATACATAGCTGCACATATATAGACCCTAAAATACGTAGTTTCACACATATAGACTGTAAAAATATGTAGTTCCACACATTCAGATTCTAACATATGTAGTTCCACACAGAACAAGATTCTGGAGCTAGACTCGTTTCTGGTGTCTTCAGGTGTCATGGTGAGGAGAGGGACTGGCAGAATTGATGGGACACCAGGCAAGCCTTCCCTCTAGTTCTGCTCTGACCCAGGTTCAGGGCTGCACAGGAGCAGCATGCAGAGACACGGCAGGTGATGCAAATTATTGCATATTGAATTGTCCCTTTCTACTTTCCACAGTCATTAGACATACATGGAAAGAGATGCTCACCCCACTTTGGTGTAACTGCAGTGATTCCTGTTGCTAAAACAGAGCCAAGTATTCACAGTCTTTGTAGTCAGGACAACTGTCTGAGAAAAGCAGCAGGGGTTTAGGGTGGCTGGCGGGGGGTGGGGGGGTGAGGGGGTTGGGGGGGAGTGAGAGAGAGGCTCCTAGGTAGAGCCAGCCCTACTGTGGCGAACGGTAAGGGGAAAATTAGTGGAGAAGGGGCTGGAGATGAGGGAAGGGGGGGAGGGAGGAAGGAAGAGAGGGAAGTCAGGGAAAGGGAAGAGGGGGGAAGGGAGAAGAGGGAAGGAGAAGAGAGGAAAGGGGGAGGAAGGAGAAGAGGGAAGGGGGAACGGAGGAGGAGGGAGGGGAATAGGGAAGACAGGAAAGAGGCCAATGCAGGGAAGGGGAGAGAAAACAGAAAACCAGCTCCTCCACAGGACTGTTGGCTCTGGGGACTGTGCAATGGAGACAACTGCGGGGCGCCACGCCAGCAGGGGACGGCAGGGGACAGAAGCCTGGAGGACCCCTACAGGGCGCCACACCAGCAGGGGACAGAAGCCTGGAGGACCCCTACAGGGCGCCACACCAGCAGGGGACAGAAGCCTGGAGGACCCCTACAGTTCTTCTCTAAGGTGTTCAGAGGAGTTAACGGCTATTTTGACAAATATTTCAAATAATCTCACCAACCTCTATTTTCCACCTGTGTGGGTGGGGCTGCATGAGCCTGCTGCGTCCTGGGTTTGCTTCCTCCTCAGGCTCCGCTTTCAGTTTTCTCACATTTCTCATGTGGCAAACTCACGACTTGGTCATTTAGTCGGTTAACTAACATACGCCTGTGAAGAGTGGAGTTGACAGATGGAAAGAATTCTATCAAGGTTTACATAAAGGATGGTCTGTTGCTTATATAGGTACTTGTAATTTAGAGTTGTGTGGGAACCTGGGATAGAGGCGAATTCTTACTTCTAAGAAAGGTTTCGCTTTTAATTCCTTGCGGTGCTTGCACAGAACCGAGGCCTCCCCCTTGCAAGTCACACACGCAATCCCCAGCTGCACTCCCGCCTGCCCGGAGTCTGAATTCTTCCAGTCAGGAGTGAGGTTTCTTTTAGCCACGGTCCCTGAACAGAAACAGGGCCCTGAGCCTAAGTGTGCTGCCCTCTGCTGCCAAGGGAGGGGAAGAGGTTGGTATGCTGGAGGAAAGATCTTTTTCTTTTTTTGTGGGCTTTTAAAGTTTTAAAAATGGGTTAAAACTTCCCAGGCCTCCCCCTCGGGGCATTAAAGATTGCCATCCTGAGGCTGGATAGTTGGCTCAGTGCTCAAGGGCTCATGGGTAGGGGTCCTCAGAGCACCTGTGTTCGGTTCTCAGCTCCCACCCTTCCATAACTCTAATTCCAAGGACCCAATACCTCTTCTGACCTCCACAGGCACCAGGCATGTACACAGTACATACACACACACACACACACACACACACACACACACACACACACACACACGGGGAGGGCAGACAAAACACATGCATAAAGTAAAAAGATCTATAAGTCCTGTTCAGTTACAAGCCAGTACACATATCCACATGTAACGCAATACAAGTTGTGGACAGCACTTACCCTCCCTACTTGCACACCAAGTATTCACTGTCGGTCTTGTTTGCTTTTCATCTGTGGCTTCAAACACTGGTTTTGGGCTGCAGTCTGAAAGCTTTGGGAGTGAAGCCACCCAGTGGCCATCATCATGTCTGCACTGACGCTACATGTGAAACAGTCTACACAGCTTTGGTTGGAAGCAGGTTACCTTCAGGCTGGGTGTGGTGGTGCCCATCTTTAATCCCAGCACTAGGAAAACAGAGGCAGAGGCAGCACTCTGTGAGTTCCAGGACAGCCCGGTGTACAAAGCAAGTTTCAGGACAGCCAGGGCTGTTAAACAGAGAAACTCTGTCATGAAAAATAAATAAAATGAAAAGAGGAAGAAGGAAAGATTGGTTGGGAGAAAAAATTAACTGGAAGGCTGGCTTTGCAGGTGAAGGGGCTTGCTCCCAAGCCTAGGAAAAGGATTTCAGCTTGATCCCCAGGACACACATGATGGGAGACTTCTAAAAGGTGTCCTTTAACTTCCAAACATGCACCATGTCATGCAAAGTTAAAAACAAACAAAACGACAACAACTAAAAACAGTGCCTGGGAAAATTCTGTATTTCACACAAGACAAATGGAAATGCCAGCCCTTTTCAATGAAAGGCACATTCCATAGTGAACATCACGGTGGGAGGCTGTCTGAATGTTAATTCTTCATAAAAATATTATGCCTCTGCCTGCATGCATCACATTAGCTAATTGCACCTACAAGAACCAAATTACCTGTCATTTCCTGCTGTCTAGGACAAAAGTGCCTAATTCTACATAAACTCTTACTGCTGAATATTATGTGTTTTTGTCTTAACTCAATACATCTGAGGTGTGGGAAATGTAGCTTGGCCCTCCCTCAAAGGGGCATCTCTCAAGGAAACAATGTCTGCTGGAATCATACTAATGTTGGTACAGTTGGTTGGAATGACATGGGCTCCTTGGGGGAGAGCTGAGGAGAATATAACCCTAGGAAGGTCCAAGGTAAGTCAGCCTGAGGCTGGAGAGAATGTTCAGTGACTAAGACTACTGGCTCCTTTCCCAGATGACCTGGGAACACCTACACAGTGACTCATAACCACCTGTAACTTCAGTCTGGGGTGATCCAACACTCTCTTCTGGCTTCCAGGGGCACCAGACACACATATGCTATACAGACATGCATGGAGACAACACAGTCTTTGTAGTCACTGTTCTATTGGTGACACCATGACCAACGTAACTATTATAAGAGAAGACATTTAATCAGAGGCTTGCCTACAATTTCAGAGGTTTAGTTCATTGTTGTCAAGTACGGAAGCAGGCAGACAGGCACTGGAGTAGTAGCTGAGAGCTACATCATGATCAGAGACACTTTGGTCTTGGTAGGGACTTCTGAAGCCTCAAAGCCCACCCCCAAATGAAGCACTGCCTCCAACAAGGTCACACCTCCTAATCCTTCTAATCCTTTCAAATAGTTTCACTCTCTAGAGAGTAAGCATTCAAATATATGAGCCTATGGTGGCTATTCTTTTGAAACCACCACACACCCATACACATTAAGTAAAAAAGAGAGAGAGAGCAAGGCATCTAACCTAGACTTGGATGTGGGTTTGGGACCTACGATCAGATTCTTCCCTCATTGTGACATAGGCTAGCAATCTCACCTTTCTAAATCATGCAAGCCAAAGGCAACAGGAACTCACCGGCTTTCAAGCACATCTGCTGGATTCCGACACATCTCAAGCAGGTGTTGGGACAACTTTAAAAGAAATCGGAGGCTGTAACCCAACACTCACGAGGCAAAGGTAGAAGGTCACAGGTTCCAGACTGTCTTGCCTCATAGGCAGCACTTGAATGAGGGGAACTTGTAAAGTCAGATCTCAGCTCCCTTCTACTCTTCTCCATCTAACTAGGGTGTCAGGGGCCTAACCTGTTCCCCCCACGCAAAGCTACAAGCTTCACCTCAACATTCCATGCCAAAGCTTTACACTGGGCAAAGCTATCTTTGTTGGAGACAGTGTCTCTGTGTAGCTCTGGCTGCCCTGGGACTTTGTATATAGACCAGGCTGGCCTTTGACCTCAGAGATCCCCCGGTGTCTGGCTCTAGAGTGCTGGGATTAAAGGCGTGTGCCCCCATTACCTGGCTTTTTTTTTTTTTTTCGAGACAGGGTTTCTCTATTGTTTTAGAGTCTATCCTGGAACTTGCTCTGTAGACCAGGCTGGCCTGATACACCTGCCTCTGCCTCCCAAGTGCTGGAATTAAAGGCCTGAGCCACCACTGCCTGGTGTGTGTGTTTGTGTATATGTGTGTATGTGTGTGTGTGTGTGTGTGTGTGTGTGTGTGTGTGTGTGTGTGTGTCTCCTGATTTATTTCCTTGGCTAAGTTGTAAAATGAGGTCTTGACTATCCACTCCTCTCTTCCAGCTTTCCCCTGGTCCACCCTAGATGGAGAGCTGGTTTTTCCTGGTACTAACCTAGAAAACACATTGAGCACCAGCTATTTTCTACACAGCTCCAGCTCACCGGGGGTCCCTCAGCAAGGCGGAAAGCTTGGGGTAACTTGGCTTCTGAGGACTCCACACGCCAGGCTGGACTAGTCTCTAAGTGACACTGAGGAGCACTCAGCAAAACTTCTGTTTGCACGGATGCCGTCATGGTGGTTTCTAAACTCCAGAGTTTGTCTTGTTTCCAATTACATGCCCAACCCAATGCAGGAAGCTTCAGAAAGGCAGTGTAGGAAAATGCCATCTATTCTATTTTTAGACAGAAATATGGAACCCATGAGAGGCTTCCATAAATACTCAAGGATAAAACAACTAACAACCAGGAAAACACACCCCACATTTAACAGTGGTAAACAGTTTTTATTCAGGCAATGAAACATGGAAAAAATATATTAGTAATTATCATAATAATTCTTTTGTGTGAGTATAACTTTTACAAATATTTACCTGACATATAAAAAGGGAAATTACTATGTGTATAAAATCTATGAGGATGATTATTCCATACAATAGGAGTCAATGCAGTGTGTACCCCCCACCCAGTGAGGGGGTCCTCACACACTTCAGGGCACTGGGGGACACAGCGGAAGCAGGTGTGCAATAACACTTGGCACGTTAGTACAGTGGGTATCTACGGGCAAACACAGACTCGCTAACAGTGATACTGGAGAGCTGAATGCTGCCTTGGGGACTTCACAGAATGCCCAAATCCTGTCCCAAGGGTTGCAAAGGACGAAGCTGAGGCTGCAGGTGTGACCTACACGCTGCCCTGTATCTGGATTGGATGTGGCTCCAGAGTCCAAATTTATATGTGTCAATCTGAAAATTATTCACAGATATAGTCAGTTACTTATGGGAAGAGGAAGCACTTTTGTTGAGCATATTCAGATACCACAAAGGGCAGAGCGGTAGAGTGGCATCTGGACAGTTGGTATTGAAGACTCCACACAGAGAAGGGTCAGGCCACACCCTAGCCCCATGCTTGGCCTCTTCTGAGCAGTTGAAGCATCATACAGACTACCTAAGGCCAGCATTGCAGCAGCATCTCCATATTGGAACTATAACCAGAATACATGTGTTTACATAAAGCTGAAACCATAGTATAGTCAAGAAAGTCATTCCTCAGGAATCTTATTTGTCCAGCTCTAACTGCATGCTGACAGGCAGAGAGGGGGGCTGCATCTGGATGGAAACTACTAGAAGAGGAAGAAGGGCTGCCTCTGTAACTTGCTTCCCTTTACTATCCAATGGGACCCTGAAGAACTTAGTAGTAAATGCTTTTTTGTTCCCCGGCACTGGGAGTGAAATCCAGGGACTTGAGCATGCGGAGCAAGTGTGTCACCAACTGAGTTACATCCCGGGCCCTGGCAAATTGTTTTTGTTTTTTTTTTTAAAGAATTAGAATCTGGAGGCCAGTCAAACCTTTTTGAACACTAGTTTCCTTTAAATAACTTCCTTATTAAAACTTTTTGAAAGATGATTTCTTAGACCTTTGGCTTAGTGTCATGGGATTCCCAGACTTTATCTGTTCTCTAGTAAGTAATAGTATTCTCCTACCCTTGAAAGTCTTCATAATATATACATCTTTAAATTCCTTGCCTGAATCATTTACTCTTTCAATACCTACATTCTCTCTTCCCAAGAGGAAGAAAAACCTGAGAGCGAGCTCGGAGGGTCACAGACTTACCAACAGACAGCAGGACAACTGATTCCTAAAATCACCAACTGAAATGGGAGATTAAAGAACTCAGTAGGAAGTGAGTTGCAGAAGGTCCGAACCACTTCCAATTCAGCTTGCCCTGAACTTTGTCACAGTTTCCGATGTCTATGAGCTGCAAAGGGGCCCTTTCTAGCCAGAGCTATCTTTGCTGCAAGTGAGGGCTTCAGTCTACTGTGGTCTATCCGGGGCTGCCTAGAGAATGAGCATTTTTGTGCATAGGCTGTGCCCAGTCTGCATAGGGAGAAAGGGGGTGCGGGCTGGAGAGAAAGTTTAGCTTGAATTCTAATCCTAACGACAGGGATCTCCCGCCAGAGCAGAGCTCCCCCGCTGTGTGCTTCTGCACTTCCTAATTTGGTCTGGTTCTGGAGATGCTTGAATCCACTCTAGAGCACCAAGCACAGAGCATGCAGCATTTAGGGAAGTTACCGGTCTCCAAAGAGAGGAGGGAATCTCACGGTGAACTGGTCTGGGATGCTGCCAGGCAAAAGCTGTCTATGCTTTGGCAAAGTCGAACTAAAGAAATGGGTCTCAACAAGACCACCTAGTGTTCCCAAACCACTTTCCATTTCCCCTGGGTTTCAGGGGTTTTTTGTTCTTTATTTTTACAACACTGGGGATTGACACCAATGCCTTGTGCATGGTGAGTAAGCTCTACTACTTAGCTACACCCCCAGCTCATAAGACTTTGAAGACAGGGTCTCACTGTATAGCCCAGTCAGGTCTGAACTTTTGGTCCCCTGCCTCTGCCTCCAGGATGATAGGTGTATGGCACCATGCCTGGTCCCCCTTTTAATTGCCTAACAAACACAAATATTTGATCCCCACAAGTGTTGAAGAAAACTTTATATTTTGACTCTCTAGAGCACTAAGAGCTTTTTAGAACCCATTTAATTAAAAGAAAAATAAATACTTTACTCTGCCTAGTATATTTTCTTAATTTGCCAGCTCTGCAAACTACATTTTTATCCTTGTTGGAGAGTAGCCATAAGCTGGAAGTTGTGGACACTTCCTGGCAATGGTGATGACTATGAGGCCACTGGCAAACACCGCTTAAAGGATTTATTTCATGTCCCCTGTACTTACAACAACTCCATTTAGCAGGGCCGGTTTTCCAAGGGGTCTCTTCTGCCAGTGAGGCAGGGAAGGATGGTCATCACGCCTCTTCTATGCTTTGTAGTATAGAGCATAGGATGCTTTAAAAATACACATGCATAAAAGATGACTGAGGCCAGAGATGTAGCTCCACAGTGAAGGACCTGCCTAGCATGGCCAAGCCAAGGCCCTGGGTATGAGTCCCAGTACCCCCCCCCCCAAATAAAAGGACAATAGCTTTATGATGGAGCCCACTCTAAGCCTTTCATACTGAAAATAAGTCAATACAATACAAAGCACACACATGGATACCACCATAATACTGTAGCAGAAACTTCTGCGGTGTTTCTCAAAATGCAAAATTAACTTCCCTTGTGGAAGAGCGCTAAGCTGAAGCTGGTTATGTCCCCTGAAGAGCTTGAACCTGACAGTATGTCTACAGCTACAAGCCACTGTGACTAAGTTCAGAATCCAAATGATTGTCAAGCCATTTCTCCAACCACAGATAACTTCTGTTTGTGTTTTTTGTAGAAAGTCTTAAGACAGTAGGCCTCAAAATGCAGCCTAACCTAAGCACCAATTATAATAGATTATAATAAATGCATATTGACAAAATGTGATTTCTAGCTTGAAAAGACATTACTCGCTACCTGAAGCTAAAGCTTGCACCACATAGTGACACGCCACTAAAGGAACGCTGTTTCTAAGATCTACAGAGTTTCTCTATGAGGCACAATTCATTTCTGGAGTTTGGCCATGCAATATTTTTACAAGGAGGAAAACGTGTGTACTGAATAGTGCATATTTACCATGATGACTCAGGGTAGAAAATTAAGGCAAAAAATGAGTTAAAACTTGAATGAGGCTAGACGTTGGTGGTGCACGTCTTTATTCCCAGCACTCAGGAGGCAGAGGCAGGTGGATCTCTGTGAGTTCAAGACCAACCTGGTCTACGAGAGCTAGTGCCAGGACAGGCTCCAAAGCCACAGAGAAACCCTGTCTTTAAAAAACAAAACAAAACAAAAAAACAAGCTTGAATGAATTTGGTTTTGTCTATCAAATGGTAAGGAACTCACTGGCATCAATGTGGGAAATGTCTATTTGGAGGTTAATGTCCCCAGTATGAGTTTACAGAATTTCATTTTGTCTCTGTGGACCTTCCTTCTCCCTGTAGCTCGCTACCCAGCATTCAAACTGATATGGGGAATGAGTCACATGACTTTTTACTGCCTGTTTTGTTTAAAAGTCTACTTCAAGTATGAAAACATTTGTTGCTGGGCGTTGGTGGTGCATGCCTTTAATCCCAGCACTCGGGAGGCAGAGGCAGGTGGATCTCTGTGAGTTCAAGGCCAGTCTGGTCTACAGAGTGAGTACCAGGACAACCTCCAAAGCCATGGAGAAACCCTGTCTTGAAAAACCAAGCCAAAACAACAACAACAAAAAATTTGTTGTTTTTAAGTCTCTGAAGTGTGCCGTCCTTAGAAACACAGAAAACCACAGTCCTTCACCCTCTAACTGGTCCTTAGGCGGCCCTATCTTTTAACAAGATGAGCTGACCCTTTCCCAAGTCCCTTTTGGGTGTATTGCAAATAGATAACAGCAGCTGACTTTGTTTTAGAGCCTAACTGCCCCCAGGTGGACACATCCATCAAAGGCCAGCTCTGAGGGAAGCCTACGCTGCTGCTCATGGAGATGGAAGAGGCTACTTTCAGTGCGAGCACAAGGGCCATGCTGGGGCTCAGGGGTGTCCAAATCCAGGGGCAACAAATAGCACAGCCAAGTCTTCCTTGGACATAAAACCTGCACCCCTGATCTTCCTATGCCCAATCTCCCCACCCTGACTCAAGTTTTAGTTTGGGTGTTTGATTTCTGAGAAAAGGTCTATTCTGCCTGGTGCTATGCTGTCCTTAAACTCCGGGTCTGGGTGATTTCCCTAGCCTCCTAGCTGCCCTAGCCTCCAATAGCTAAGATGTCACCCTGCTTCCACTCACCCCTTTCCTGAAACGTGGCCTCCACATGGCTATGCAGTTCAGGATGACCTTGAACTCCTGATCCTCCTGCCTCCACTTCTGGAGTCTTGAGATTACCGGTATGCCCTACAATATCCAGTTCTTGTAGTTCTGGGGATCAAGCCCAGGGCTTTGCGAACAGGGAACACTTTAGCAAAGAGCTGTGTCATCAGCCCCTACAAAGTATGACGCTGGTTTTTAGACCTGGGGTTCTGTTTCCAAAGAAGATCTACATTGACTCACATAACTATGCTCCTCCCTAGAAATCCTTATCTGAATATTGGGGGGGGGCAGCATGTATAGATGTGTGTGCATGAGTAAAAGTAAGTCTGTAAATTATGGGAACTCAGAGTCTCATCCATAAACTGTTAGTAGCAATAGGCCAAATTGTCTCCTTCGATAAAACTGTTGATACTGAAATTTAAAAGATTAGCCAGGTCATAAGAATATCAAATATGTGCTGGGAAGACGATCCCACACAGTTGCCACAAACTTAGAAATTGCACACACTTGGGGAAAAGTAGAGTCCACAGCAAGAAAAACTGAAGATGGAGAAGCACACACCGGACCCGGCAGCCCAGCCCGTCTAATGGAAACGACAGCCTGGATGGACGGACGGACGGACGCGCAGGACTCGGCTGCCGCATCACTCCTCCCCACCAGCCAGGCTCCGGCTGCGGCGGTGAAGCGGACAGGCAGCTGCGGGCATGTGCTTTTCTAGAAGTTATTTTTCTCTGCAAAGGGGAGATCATTTCTGGATAAGGCAAGAAATCTGTGGTCAGGACACAAGCAGCCAAACTCAGACCTGCACAGCTCACGGGAGGAACCTCAGTCGATCTTTCCCAGCTTCACGATCAGCTCGTCGCAGATCTTTGTCAGTTCTTCAATTTCTTGATTCTGAAAGAGAGAGGACATGATTTTGCAGGCTGCTTTGTGTTCTGAGAGAAAAGCCAGTGGCTAGACTATTCCTACACATCCTAGAGACTCTCCACTCCCCTCCCCACAGCACTGGGAGGCAGAAGGCTACATGCCTCCCTTCCACCCATCAAAATCTGCTCACAGTACGGCACTAAAGAGAGCTGACGGGGAGGGGAGCCATCATCCTGTTGAGGCCGGCCCCTAAGCCCTCGCCCACTTGCTAAAACACTTCACTTCATCTACCAACAGCTTCAGGGACGGGGATTCCAGAGTCTGAGTGAGTCACAAGCTGTAAGCTGAAGGGTGTCGCTGCATGGGCGCACGTGTGGCGGCACAGCAAGTTAAACTGTGGAGGAAGAGGAAGGCCGAGACCCGCCCGCCCACCAGTGAGAAACACAGCCAGTGGTGTGAAGACTGAGCATGCCAGCAGAGGGGTTAGCAGGAGGGGCCGGAGCAGCTGCCCTTCCAACTCACCCAGGTGTATACGTAACTCCCGTAACTCCTAGGGGACAAGTGTTCACAAATACCCCAACGAAGGGATATGTAGAATGGAAAAGCATCCTGAGATTCGGGGTTAGGATCAAGCACGTACCACCAAGCCCAGTCAGGCATGTGTGAGAGGCAGGCGTGTGTGTGTGAGAGAGGCAGGCGTGTGTGTGTGTGTGTGTGTGTGTGTGTGTGTGTGAGAGGGGCAGGCATGTGTAAGAGACGCAGGCGTGTGTGAGAGGCAGGGGTGAGACAGGGTGGTGTGAGAGGCAGGTGTGTGTGTGTGAGAAGCAGGTGTGTGTGTGTGAGAGGCAGGCGTCAGACTGGAATCCTCAGCACCTGCCTCCATAAAGCACTCCAACTCAGCTGGGGCAAGAGCCCTCCACCTCCTCATGCTGCCTTCCAAATGAGATCACCTTAGTTACCTCAACACCTGTCTTTCTGCTTCACTGGTATGTCCAAAGGCAAGCAGCCAGCCTTGAGCCTGGTGACATTATCTCTGTGGCAGTTTCTCAGCATCCCTTACGTTGGGCTGAGATCTGATTTGGGCTATCCTGTCTGTTACGGGATGCTTGGCAGCATCTCTGGCCTCTACCCACTTCGGGGCTAGTAGTATCTCCCAATCATAACAGTCCAATCAGTCTCCAGACATGGCCTAGTGTCCCTAGAGGGCGCATCTGCTCTGAAAACTGGTGGTCTGTCAGCAATGAAAGGGAAGATGCTCCATGTACTGCACAAAAACCGAGGGCGTGGAAGGCAGTCTTGTCACCCTATGTGTCCAAGACCCTGAACCCCAGTTAAAACACAACGTTCCCCCCTCGAGCCCAGCCTGTGGCTGATGGCTCCCGTAACCTCGCGCACCTTCTGCTGAAGGGCCCTTTCCAGGGACTCCACCTTCATCTGCTCCTTCCGGAGTCCAGCGTGGAGAGCAGCGCTCTCGGCCTTCGCCTTCGAGCGAACCTGAGCGATCTCTTCGTTGGCTCTGGGATGCAGCATTGGGTTTGTTTGTGGAAGAAATAAGTACATGGTTAGCCACGAGGAACAGACAGACTCAGGGCACTGACTACTGACTTCCACAAAACCCAGAGTCTCAGTCGGGAACTGAGGAAAAACAAGAAACAATAAAATAAAAGGCAATTTATACGAAACTGCTAAGCACATTTCCATGGTGCATCCTGACAGCAGAATCAAACTGCAATATCCTTCAAATGTAGTGATATATTATCTACGATTTTTTAAAAGATTTATTTATTATGTATATAGTGTTCTGTCTGCATATATGCCTGCAGGCCAGAAGAGGGCACCAGATCTCATTACAGATGGTTGTGAGCCACCATGTGGGTGCTGGAATTGAACTCAGGACCTCTGGAAGATCAGCTAGTGCTCTTAACTTCTGAGCCACCTCTCCAATCCCTATTTATGATTTATTAAAGCTTGCCTGAGGGTTCAGAAAGCAAAGCCAGTCACAACCCATAGAGGTCAGGGAACGATGATATACACCTTTAATCCCAGCAGCCATACTAGCTAGCCATAGAGCCAGGCAGTGGTGGCGCGCACCTTTAATCCCAGGACTAAAGAGACAAGCAGATGCATCTCTGTTAGTTCAAGGCCACTCTGGGCTACAGGAAACTGATCCAGTCCTACAGAGAAACAGCTCACACAAAGGTGATCTCAGCACTTGGCATCACGAGTCTTTAACCCCAGGATTTGAGAGGTATAAAAGGAAGAACCAAAGGGTCTCACGTGAAGATTTATTCTCTGACCGCGCTGAGGAGAGGACAGCCCTTTCAGCCTGAGGTAGAGGTAGTAAGAGCTAATAGCCGGCTTTGCTTTTCTGATCTTCAGCTTGAAGCTTGAACCTCAATATATGTCTCTGGGTTTTTATTTTTCATAACATTCAAAAGTTATGTTTCATGAGAAAATGACATGACTTATCTTTTTATAACAATCCTAACTTTTAAAGGGTCTAGTCCAACAGTGGGCTGGATTACTCTACACATGATCATATAAGATTGAAGTCACTCAGCAAATATTCTCTTACTCCACTTAAATGGTGTATAAAGGCAACTCTACATTCAAGCATTCATGTCATTCTAACTTTTTTATTAGACTGTGGGGCTAAACATTTCTTGCTGACAGGCTCTCATATGTAGTATTTCCAGGTTTTCTTTTCCATTGTCAAGACTGTAGCACTAAACACAGAGTACAGATACTGATATCTGTGAGTTATAGCCCTCCGGGGTGTCTTTATCAATGAAATGCAAGAGAAGACATCATGTCACTTAATAAACATCCAGTCAATTGATAAAAGATTAAAACTAAAACCTCACAAGCAACAAAAGACATACAAATTAAAACAATAAGCTTTTTCTGTGGGGGACTGAGGCCAGGATCTCATGCATGCTAAGTGGGCATTCTATCACTGAGTCATTCATGGTCCAAGAGTACAGTTTACGGTTTTGTCCTAAGAATGCAGAGAAAGACAGGGTCACATGCCATGGGAAAGACGGGGGCATGGCGTGGGAATGAGGAAAACAAACTTCCCAGAAATACTCTGCTAATGTAGGTGCTTTCAATTGGGAGAGTGTGAACCAACTCAAATGTTCATCAGTGAAGAATGTTATGGTATGGCGCTGGAGAGTTGGCCCCGAGATTAAGAGCCCTGGCTGCTCTGGCAGAGAAATCCAAGTTCCATTCCCAGCACCCACATGGTGGCTCACCAACAGTCTCTTCAGTTCTAAGGAACCCAACACTCACTTCTGGCCTCCATAGGCATTAGGCACACAGTGATGCACACACACACACACACACACACACACACACACACACACACACACACACACACACACACACACACTCTCTAAACATAAATGAGACTTAAAAAAAAAAAACGGTCCTACCACCTAGTGAAGGAATTAGATAGACTAAGCTATGAGTTCTGACTTGGAAAATGGCTCTAATATGTTACTAAGTTAAAAAAGGAAATTTGTAGGCTATTTTGGTATATATCTCAAAGCAACAATGACAAAAGGGGACCAAACCATTTGGGGGTAGTTTCCAAAAGCACAAAGACAACACAAGGACATGCAACAATCTTCAGCCAGAGCCCATAAAGGAGTGGGAAGGAGAGAAACTCACACGTTTACAGATGGGAATACAGATCACAAAATACACATACCATACTGTATTGTTTCTTAGTTAAAAAACGATGGGAGCTGACCATGGCGGCACATGCCCCTTAGTCCCAGCGGAGGCAGGTGATCTCTGAGAGTTTGAGTTCCAGGACAGTCAAAGACATACAGTGAGATCTCATCTTTTAAAAGGAGGAGGGAGGGGCATACCCTTTGCCGGGGGAAATTCTAAAATGTGTTATTAGACTTCAGGACCGAGGGGAAAAAGAAGGAAGCCACAAAAGCGCTCGAAGGGAAACCTGGAAGAATAATGTCTCTCTCTACAATAGGGTAGACTCAACACTGCAACAGGGGCCCAGGAACTGCAAATAAACTGACGGCACTCCTACCACAGTTCAAGATGTTTTCCTGGGTAGGGGCATGGTGGCATATGCCATGAAGTTGAGGACCGGTGAGGCTGGGGCAAGCTCAAGGTTGGACTCAACTATACAGGGAGACCCTGACACGTTTCTGCAATCAGAACACACTACAAGACTACATGACAGAGCTCTCTGTCCAGGATGTACCAAGTCTGGGTTCAATCCCAGAACCTAAAAACAAACAAATACAAAAAAATGAAACCCTGCACCACCCTCATAAACAGGGCCAACACACACACACACACACACACACACACACACGCACGCACGCACGCACGCACGCACGCGCACACACACACACACACACAGAAGCTGGGAAAATGAATCACAATTACAGTGAAAGTTAGTGCCCCTAGTATATGACACACATTAAGTTACAATAGAAAGGGCAAATAACAGTCAGTCACAATAAAGTACTTACATGGATTACTGTTGAAATATATTTAGTTTTTTTTAAATATTTTATTTATTTATTGTGTATACAGCCTTCTGCCTACAGGCCAGCAGAGGGTACCAGATCTCATTCAAGGTGGTTGTGAGCCACCATGTGGTTGCTGGGAATTGAACTCAGGACCTCTGGAAAAACAGTCAGTGCTCTTAACCGCTGAGCCATCTCTCCAGCCCTCCATTTAGTTTTTACCAAGATAAATTTAAGATAAATAAAACTACTCTGAATATATCAATGCTGTGAATATAGTATTACATTTGAAGATAATCTAAGAGTGGAGCTTTTGGCAGGGAAAACAGACACTCCCATACGTCGTGGAGGGGACAAGTTGACGTATGTCTAATGAGGCCAGTTGGATGGTGTGTATGATTATCACAAGCACACATATTTGTTTGCTGGTCCCCAACTCCTCATCTTTTACCCTGAAGGCACAGAAGGGCAGTCCACAGCTCTACTCACTTCTGAACCGCCTAAATGGAGACCTTCCAACTATGACATGCCAGGGAGAGGGTCCTTGTGGGCAGCGAAAGATAAACCATGGGGTTAGCACGTATGTCTGAGGGAAAACACAGAATACCAACACTAATGACCTAAAAGTGACAGAGGGGATGTTGTGTGTACACATACACATCTTTTTACACTCTTGAATGCTTTAACCATGTAGAGAATTAAAATCACACACACACACACACACACACACACACACACACACACACAGAAAGGGGGGGGGCACACATGTACCCTGAAGTTGCAAGCAAGAATGCAGACAGCAAAAGGTGCAAGTATGTTACTTTGTATATTAAAAAAAGCAAACAAGAATGCAATGTAGGCCTGGCAGTGGTGGTGGTGGTGATGGTGCACACCTTTAATCTCAGCACTTGGGAGGCAGAGACAGATGGATCTCTGTGAGTTCCAGGCCTACCTGGTCTACTGAGAGTTCCAGGACAGCCTCAAAAGCTACAAAGAAACCTTGTCTCGAAAGAGTAAAAAAAAAAAAAAAATGCAATACAGATGGGGGGGGGCGCACGCCTTTAATCCCAGCACTCAGGAGGCAGAGGCAGCCGTATCTCTGTGAGTTTGAGGCCAACCTGGTCTACAAAGTGAGTTCCAGGACAGTCAGGACTGTTACACACAGAGAAACCCTGATTTGAAAATCACAAAAACAAGCAAACAAACACGAATGCAGATAGAAAATAAGTAGGTTACTTTGTAGCTAAAAAAGCAAACAAGAATGCAGATAGCAAAATAAGCATGTTACTTTGTAGGCAAAATAGTGTCTGCCTCCACCTGCAACAGTAAACAAGTGCAGGACACATTCACAAGCTCTTACCTGTCCAGCTTCTCCTCTGCGTGAATCTTCAGGGCCTGGTATCGCTGCTCTTCTTGCTTAACTCTAGCTAAGTAATCCTGCGCACATTTTTTCAAGGCTTCTTCATTCTATTCCAAAGTGAAAGTAAAAACAAATGTGCATGTCTCTTCGTTCTCTTGCACAGTATATCCCAAGGGTTGAGGTTCTTTTTTGTTGTTGTTGGTTTTGTTTAATGCATAGTCCATGGCAATGACAACAGGCTTGTGCCACCCCCACTAAAGAAAGCCTGTAGAGTTTCTCCATGTCCTAATTTGCATTGCTAGACAGGGCTTCAACTTCCGAATGTAGCTTGTTTCTTAAGCCCTATATTAGATAATTGGCCAGTGCCATCTTATCTATCTGTCTGTCTGTCTGTCTGTCTATCTATCTATCTATCTATCCATCCATCCATCCACTTTTAGTATTCGGTTTTCTAAGACAGGTCTCACTCTGCAGCCCAGACTGGCTTAGACTTTGCAATCCTTCTACCTCACTTTCTTGAATGTTAGTATTACAAGCCTGAACCTTTGGTCATACACAACACCATGTACAAAAAGCCCTGTGTTAGACCTGTAGGGAAAAGGGGCCAGTCAAAGAAACACCCTGAGCAGAGCCAAAGAAACACACTTTGGCCCTGCAACCAGAACCAAAGAAATGTACCCTGACCCTGAAACCAGTGCCAAAGAAACACACTTTGTCCCTGGAATCAAGAGTCAGTGGAAGAAATGCACCCCAGCCCTAAAATTGGAGCCAAAAGGCTAAAAAGGACCAGAGAAAGAAATACACTTTGGCCCTGAAACCAGAGCCAAATCTGATCCTAACCCTGTACAGAAAACTAACCAATCCCTGAGCAGGAGCTCTAGTCAATCTGAGCTCACCATTGAAATCTGACCAATCCCTACCCTGGAAAAACTTCCCCAGCCCTCCAAGAATCCCTATATAAACCCCTCGTATGTTCAGCTTGGCTTGTCCAGCTGCTTCCTTCAATAAACCCCTTTGGCCAGCTTTGGGTGAAGATCTTTCACCGTGGCAGCGGAACAGAGGCGACCCTGGGCAGAGCAGGGTGAGCAGAGCTGTAACCCTTGTGCTAGGGGAAACCTTCCCTTGTTACACTCTGCTCTCCACTCTCCTGGAGCAGAACTGAACTGTAGCAACTTCGCCTGGGAAACCTTCTGCCGGAGCAAAACTGCTACACTGGGTAAATATCCCCAGCTGGAAGACCCTCTCCTGCCCGAGCAGAGCAGACACAAAGGGGTAGCCTTTCCCTGAGGCAGGGCTATAAGCAGCTAAGCTTACTGCAACCTGTGGTAGTCTTTGGCTCCGGAGCTCCAGGATACCTTTCCTCTGAGCTGTGTAACAGTATTCTGTGACTCCCGAGTACCAGAATACCTGTCCCATCCAATCCTCCCGAAACGCTTACAAGACATACCAAGAAAAGAAGTCTACGATACCTTTGACAGTACACACATGAATGATTAACAGGATACAACTGAATGATCGACCCCACTCATTTCTCCTGTAGTACACAGGTTGGCCTTTGCTCAGTGAACTACGATCTCTTCTACTTTGACTAATCTCTTCTACTTTGACTAATCTCAAAAAGCAAATGATCAAGAAGGAGGAGGCCAGCAAGCCTCAGCCCCACATACAAGGCTGCCCACCACTGACAGGAGTGACTACCTGTTGGTAAGAAACCACACCACCACCCAGGAGACAGAGAGAAAGGAACCCTACCTTCTTGAACCCTTCAAGCACGCCTTTCAGGTTTTCGTATCTCCTGAAGAGATCAGAAAGGGACCTTTCCACAGAGTTGAGGTCAGCCAGGGCCTGCTCCTTCTCCATCGTCAGCTGCTGGAAACTCTTCTGAGAGGTCATGCTCGTCCTCTGCTCGTCTTCTGAGAACCACAAGTCAAAGGGGACAAAGAGAAGGCTGACTTTGGGTGAGCCAAGGAAGGAACGTTCCTGGAAAGGGAATGTGGCCCAGGTGTCCCCACTCTCTAGAACTCATATTCTAGTGGGAAGATACACACTGAGGTGGGGACAGAGCTGGTAGTCACAGGGTAGTTAGCCTCGCAGAGGAGAGACCGGAGCGGGCACCCAGAAGGGACTGGGGACGGGAGCCACACAGAGCAGACAGCCAGGGCCAAGGCTAAGGTGGGAAGGCAGTTGGTGGTGTGGACAGTGGGGAAACCTTTTCATTACTTAAATGATAGAAGGTCAGAATAGATGCATGTCAGAGTCAAGCCTCAGAATGGCAACTAAACGAGGCTGTAAGTTCAATACGGACAATTGTCACTGTTACTCTATATGCTCTCTGTGCAGGTCTGATGGAAGGAATCAGAACTTGCAGTGAGGTAACACATCCATCAGACCAAGGACTCACAGGCACTTACACTCTATATAGGCCTGGCTGGCCCAGAACTTGCTTATGTAGACCAGACTGGGCATGAACTCGCAGAGATCTGCCTGACTCTGCCTTCTGCGTGTGGGGAGTGCTATGCATCTGGCCTGAAATAGCAAATGCTTGAGGAGATGGGAATGCTAGCTTTAATAGCTTCATCCCTGGCCACTGCATTCGTGTGCAAAGTACCACACTGCTCCCCACAGGATATACCATGGCATGCCACTTTTAAAAAGCCAGAGAGGAGGACTGGAGAGACGGCTGAGCAGCCAAGAGCATGCGTTGCTTTTGTGGAGCACCCAGGTTCAGTTCCTAGTGCCCACATTAGGCAGCCCACAACCACCGCTAATTCAAGTTTCAGATGATCTGAAATCCTCGTGTGCTGAACATAAACACATAAACCCGTGCAGGTACACACACACACACACACACACACACACACACACACACACACACGTTTATCTTTAGAAATAAATTAAGAGAAAGGCTTCAGGAAGCGAGCTATCTCCTCCGAGACTGATGTAACGATGAAGTGGGACGGCACAGAGGGGAATGGGCCCTTCCAGACACAGCACGGAGGGGAATGGGCCCTTCCAGACAGAATCTACCACAGCCTTGGCCTTGACTCCACAGATTCCAAAACTATAAAAACAAGTGTTTGTCTGTTGTTATGACAATCTGAACAGGCTCAGATAGGTTCTATGGCCCATGTTCAAAAAACAAACCAAAACAAACAAACAAACAAAACCTTTCTCCTTACCAATCATTTGGGCAATAGTCTTTTCATATTCAGTCACAATTTTCCTAAAAAGAAAAAAAAGTAATTTATTATAAACATAACAAACCTTGTTTTGTTATCAGAAGAAAGCAATGGAAACCATAAAAATACTGTCTGAGACAAATGAAGACATTTATAACAACACATATAAACCCCATCTTTGCTCTGCTCTGCTCCCTTCTTTGGTTTTTCTTACATACATAAGGTTCACTAACGGTCTGAAAGGTGAAATGTTCTTAGCAGAAGACAAAAAGGGAGAAAAGAAATGGGAAGAAACAGGCTTCTGCGTCCACTGCCTGGAACGGAGCCCTCGTCTCCCACAAGCTAAGCAAGCGCTCTACCTGCTGGGCTGCATCCTCAACTCCAAAACTTGTGTTTCATAAGCTGTCCTGGTCAGTTTTTCCTGCCAACTTGATTCAGCCAGAGTCACCCGGCAAGAGAGAGCCTCAGCTGAAGACCTGTCTTCATCACGCTGGCCCATGCCCTCCTCAGGAGTTTCTCGATTGCTGTGTGAGGCCCCAGCCACAGAGAACAGCACACCACCCCCAGCTGGTGACCTGGTTCTCTGAGAAGGCTAGCTGAGCCACCGGGCCACCATGGCTCCTGCCTCAGCTCCCCCTCTCCCTTCCCCTAGATGATGGCCACAACCTGGGAGTGTGAGCTAAAGCTCTTCTAAGTTGCTTTCCGCCATGGTGTTTTTCACAGCAACAGGAAGCCAGCTACAACATAACCCTTTCAGTGTTTTGTTAAAGCAACTGTCTTCTCTTTTTCCTACTTAAATATCGTGAGACAATCCCTTTTTTTTTTTTTTTTGCTGTTTCAAAAAGCTTTATTTTTACTTGGTCCAAGACTTGGGAGGGGCTCCAGGGCGGTTACAAAGCTGCCTAGTGGCTTGAGAGGTCGGGTGAAGGTCCTAAGGTTGGCTGGTGCAGAGCAGAGAGCCCCTTGGAAGGCGAGGCCTCCTAATCATGCTTGAGAGTGAGCCGCTCAAAGAGACACTCGCCCAGAGCCGGCTGGGCCACACCAGTCTGCGCTGGCTGGGGTGCGGCCGGCCTATGGATGTTGGTCAGGTGGTTGCCCATCTTCTTGAGGAGCTTCACCTCCTCATCCAGGAAGTGGCTTTCCAGGAAGTCACAGAGATGAGGATCGGTGCGACCAGAACCCAGGGAATGAAGATCCAAGAGGCCTGGTTCAGGTTCTTCTCCAGGGCCAAGGCAGCTTCCATGGCTTCCTGGGTTTTACCCCACTCATCTTGAGATGGTTTCTGCACATCCTGGAAGGGTGCGTGGCCACCTCGGTCGTTCTGAAACTTGAGGAGACGCTGGGCACCCTCGTGCTTCTCCTCTGCCAATCCGCGGAGGAAGTGGCCTACACCCTCCAGAGCCACGTCATCCCGATCAAAACAGCCCAGAGAGAGGAAGCCGGCAGGTGCAGGTTGACCAGGCGGTTCACGGCAGCTTCCACTTCGGTGGAGTAATTCTGACGGATCTGGGAGGCCATGGTTGATGCGCTGTGTGGAGCTAACCGCAAAGAGACGGTGCTGACTGGTCCTAGGGGCCGAGGGCGGCGAGGGGACGGTCCCAAAGGCTGAGAGAGGCTGAGAAGCGGCTGGAAGCTAAGGGAGTCCCCGGGTCTGTTCGTCCAAACACTGTTGAAGCAACACACAGATCCACGGGACCTCCGCAGCTGCCCGAGACAATCTTTTTAAGTTACAGGCGTTGTTCAGAGATCCTCCTATGAGACCCTCTCTGACTTCGCTCTTCCTGGCCCATCTACCTTTCTAAGCACTGCTCGCCTGTGATTCGGTTACAAGTTTTACCTTGTGTCCTACTCCACAAATACGCCACTTATTCGGAGATTCTGAAAATCAAGGCCCTTGAGGCAGCCTTTCACTCAGTGAAGTGTGGTTAGTCTGAACTACCCAGTGGGGGGCCATCTTCCCTGTGGTATCCCCAAGCTGGTCTCTGCATCCTTATGATGGCTACCGTAAGCTCACCAAAGGTGAGGTTGTTCCAAACCCAGCACTGGGCCTCCAACCAGGAAGTCCTCCAAAACCAAGTAACACGGGAGGACAAATTACAGTGGTCATGTTTAAAATATCTGGTCAGCACTCCAGTGCTCACTGGTGAGGTTTATGCTTTCTCTTCTTTGAATATATCAGTAAAATTTATTTTAAAAGATTTTATTTATATTTATTAATTTATTTATTTTGCATACAATGTTCTGCCTACATGTTTGCCTGCAGGCCAGAAGAGGGCACTAGACCTCATTATCCATGGTTGTGATCCACCATGTTGTTGCTGGGCTTGAACTCAGGACCCCTGGAAGAGCAGCCAATGCTGTTAGCCCCTGAGCGATTTCTCCAACCCATCAGTTAATTTTATTACTCTTTATTGCAAATGGATTTTTTTTCCCGAGACAGGGTTTCTGTTGCTTTGAAGTCTGTCCTAGAACTTGCTCTATAGACCAGGCTGACCTTGAACTCACAGAGATCCACCCACCTGCCTCTGCCCCCACCCAAGCGCTGGGATTAAAGGTGCAAATGGAGGGGGGGGTTGGGGAGAGGGCACGGGAAGAGGGGAGGGAATGGGAGAGGGACCTGGAACTGACTTGTGAAGCAACCTTGTTTCTTATCTAAATTTAAACTGGAAAATAAAAGAAAAAAAAAGGTGCAAATGGATATTTTTGAATAGATTTCTGTCATTCTCTTTAAAAGGCAAGAATTATATGAGTTCTATTTACATGCGGCATTGTAAATAACCCGCTAGACACTACTAACTCTGACTTCTTTCTTTTTTTTGAGATAGGGCCTTCCTACATCACACTGGCTATCCTAGAACTTGGTAAGTAAGCTAGGCTGGCCTCAAACTCAGCCATCACCTAGCTCTGCCTCAGTCTCTAGAGTACTAGGACTAAAGGTGTGCCGTCATGCCCAGACGGCACTGACATCCTTAATCTCAGATTGCTCAATGTGAGCAAAGCCCTCATGTTGTCAGCCACTGACTTTGTGACAAGAAAACACTGCTGACTAAACCAGCAATGCACAAAGGCAGCCACGCCCCACCCCAGCATCAGTCTAACCTCATCTCCAAGACTTCTTCTCGGGTCTCTTCGTACTTTTTCTTCCATTCGTTTGCTTCAATCTCTTTAGTGATTATCTAGATTATAATAGAGCTTTGTTTTACTTCATCAGTCTATTGGAAACTGAAAAATAACACGTGACCAAGTCTGACACAAGATATCCAGCTAACATTTAGGAATATAGTACATCTCAGTGTTGGTGTATAACGATCGTAAACATCTGGGAAAGCAGTCTCGCTCATCTGCACAGGGTGCTGTGATACAGCCACCTCCCTCACATTTCAGTGGTCCTTGCGACTCCTGGACATTTTTCTGTCTTTATTTTGAGAGAGAATACATCCACATCAGCTTTGAGCCTGTGATCCTCCTGCCTCAGCCACCCACGTGCCGGAATTAGTGCACTACCATACTGGGAGAGATGCACATTCCTTTCTGTAGCGATACCTCAGCACCTGCTAAGACCTGAGTCAGGATGAAGGGGCTCAGGGTGCACCCACAACAGGGCTCCAGCAGGCATCCGGCACCCTCCCTTCGCCACGCTCCTTAGGTCCCCTCTTCCTCCTAGCGGGTACGTATTCTGATTTGTGCTTATAAAGGATCTCAAGAATACAGAGATGGGGGGCTGGAGAGATGGCTCAGTGGTTAGGAGCCCTGACTGCTCTTCAAGGACCCAGGTTCAATTCCCAGCACCCACGTAGCAGCTCACATCTGTCTGTAACTCCAGTTCCAGGGGATCTGACGCCCTCACACAGACAAACCACCAATGAATGATTAAAAAAAAAAAAGACTATAGAAATGGGACTGAAGGGATGACTCTTGCAAAGGACCCGAATTCAGTTCCCAGCACCCGCATGGCAGCTCACAATTGTCTGTAAGTCCAGCTTGAGTGACTACGGACTCCTTTGTTATACACCTAAAATAAAGGAACCCAGGGGCTACCCTGTGTGCTTCTACTGACCAGACACAGCTTTCCTCTGATCTACTACGTGGTCACCTCAATGTCCTACCAATAACTCCGTATATTGGCCCCCTGAAAACCAGCGCCAATGCCCAAGTCTACTGGAACCCCTTCATGCGGGCCACACGAGCTACCATGAAGGGCAAGCTGCAGGCTGAGGTGAGGCGAGTCAGCAGAGACAGGGCCTCTGCAGACAGACAACTTTACCTCCTCTCTGATCAAAGTGAGCACAGCAGTCTTGTCGGCTTCGCTGAGGCAGATCCCATCCAGGGGGCTCTCACCCCCACAGGCCACAGACACGGGGGCCTTTTCCAAAGAGGACTCCAGCAGTCCCTGCAGACAGGGGTTGCATTTGACATGGTCAGTCTCCTCCAGCTTATCCCTGAATATCCTTCAACAACTTCCTCAACACAAAACAGATCAAACCCTTTAAAGATGTACTTGCAGAAGCAGCAGGAGAAGGTGGCAGCTTTAAACAAGCAATCTTGTTCAGCACTGTCTAAAGGAAGAGGTTCTGGTGACTACTGGGGTCCGCTTATTGAGGCACAGACAACATAAACCAGCTGTCTTCTTATGAGAGGGAAGAGTGTACTTGTCAAGTGGTCACTCATCAGAGAATCCCAGGCAGAAAAGAAACATCTCAATACCTCATTTTTCTGTTTTTTTGTTTTGTTTTTCTGGGAAAGTGTCCTATGCAAACAATTTTTCAAAAACAGTGAGAACCCTTCCACTCACATATGGATGCTTATATGTCTCCATTTAGCCATTTTGGCAAAATGATGCTAACATGTATTACTGACTTCCGTGCCTACGCAGGCAGGCAGGTGTAGCAAATCTACCTGGCCTTTGACCTTCAGCTTTCCAGCTCAGTGACTTGGAATCATCAAGGACTTGAGCTGCAGTGATGACCTCAAGTTCACTCCCTTATTAACCCTTATGCAAAGAGGTTGCATACAACATAAAACAATGAGCAGTTTAGCTTTGCAACTATACCTGCAGCTCCTGTCTGGTGGCCTCTGGGCTCCTAAAGAGACATATCTGGTTGGTATTTTGTTGTTCCCAAAGCTTTTTTTTTTTTTTTTAAAGAAGCAATTTCCACCCAGGAAAGTGAAGTTTTGTGTGTGTGTGAGACCTTTGGCTGGCCCTGGTTTCCACCGTGATTTCCAAGTATGAGCGAGCACACAACTGAAAAGCTACGGACTGGTAATCAGTCTGTTTCCCGGTGTCTGCTCTCTCCAAATGCTCAAAACACGTACGTAATTTTAGCATACATCTTTATAGACCTTAGCCTTGGGCCCAGTTTAGAAATTTATCTTTGGCTACAGAAAAGAGAAATTCCAATGCCACCACCTGGCAGTGCACATTCCCCGGAAGCACTTGGGGGAGGGGAGTCCAACCAGAGGACACTTGGGCAACCTCTACCAGGATTTCCCCCAAACCCCCACACCTCCTAGTACTAATTCCCTGTGTAATTTCATTTTAGATGAAGGCTGCTCTCAGTGATCATCCAGATATGGCAAAAGTCACTGTGGTAGTTTGAATGTATTGGCCCCATAAGCTCATAGGAAGTAGCACTATTAGGAGGTGTGGCCTTGTTAAAGTGGGCGGGGTCTTATCGGAGGAAGTATGTCAAGTGGAGATTTTTATATATGCTCAGGCCACGCCCAGTGAGACAGCACACTTCCTGCTGCCTGCAAGATGTAGGACTCTCAGCTACTTATCCAGCACCATGTCTGCCTGCACGCCGCCATGTCCCGCCATAACGATGATGGACTGAACTTCTGAAACTGTAAGCTAGCCAGCAGTTAAATGGCATCCTTTATAAAAGTTGCCATGGTGACAAGTTCGCCACAGAGTCTCTGGCTCCTACACATTAAGATGCTCTGTGTAAAGACCCATGATGCAAAGAATTGTTGTGTCTGCCAATAACCAGGTAAGATTGGAAGCAAATCCACCTTCAGGCAAGCCCAAAGATCAGCTCTGATCAATGGCTTAGTCAAGAAAGGCCCTGAATCAGGGGACCTGGCAAACCCCCTAAAGGTTCCTAAGGCACAGGAACAATGAATAATAAATGTTTCTTACTTTAGGCATTAAAGTTTGGATTCTAGAACTGTAAGCTCCCAAAAAACCTTTTCTTTTACAAGTTGCCTTGCTCGTGGTGTCCTATCACAGTGATGGAAAAGTAGTCAATACACTCGCTGTGTAATTCAGGACGATCCTGAACTTGGGGCCATATTCCTACCTTAGCCTCCCAAGCACCAGGATTTTAATAAGGTGTGAGTTACCATCCCAGCTTTGATTCTAACGCACACTTAACTCAATACACCCTAACCCCCATCTTATTAGGAGACAATCTAAGAAATCACTGAGACATTTACTAACACTCCCTTTTTGTGTGCTTAGTCTTCAAGCACTTTTACTGCTGAGCCAACTAGCCAGCCAGACACGTCTTCCTTCCCACATCACCCAATACTAACTAGAGTTCCCTTAATCAAATCAGTGTGGACTCTAAACAAACCCGCCATGTTTGGGAACTTACATGCCCAGCCGACTCCTCCTTCTCTGTCTTCTGGCACGCCTCCTTCTCTATGCCTGAAATAGAGAGAGCCGTTTTTTTTTTTATACTTATTCCCAAGCAATGGGTCCCTTTGTTCCCAGTGAAGGCTAGCCAAATCCAGTGTAGGTTTAGGACAAAAGGACACAGAACGTCAAGATTTCTAAGAGGTGTGCTGGCAAGCTCTTTCTTGAACTCTGGTGTTTAGAGTCAGCCACAGCTCGCAACCCTCAGGCCGAAGGCACAGCAGGTCTGCCCCCTTGTGTCCACTGGAAATTTAGCAGAATTGTAGTAAACAAGCAATTTCAGAAAGTGGAAACGACCACGGAATCCTACTTTATTCCTAAAGTACACATTTAAATTCTGGCTCAGGAGGACACTCTCAGTATAACTCATATAGCAGATTAAAATAGCCTTAAATCCAAGCCTGAAAACCAAGTTCATTATTGTCTAACTGGCTTCCTCAGGCCTATTTTTCTGGTATCAGGTGACACAATAGGGAGGTGGGGGGGGATGGACATGACTATATTCCCGAAGGAAATTTAAAATTCAGAAAAGCAAACAAAAAATAAAGTTGAAAATCTCCTTGTTGCTATATTTAAATACTATTTCATTCAATACGTACTTAAAACACTAATGTGAGTGTCACAACAGTTCTTCTAATCTGTTTCACGGTTAAACCACAATCTAATGTAAACCTCTCCTCTCTGCAAGCTGACCATCCCAGGCATCAGAAACAGTACAGAAATGACCACAAGGGGAGAGAGGTGGTGGTGGTGGGGGCAGTAACTTGTTCAGTTTGGACTTTCCACCTGCTTTCCTATTTTACATCCCAGCCACAGCCTCCCCAATGAGAGATCAACTCAGCACCTTGGAAGCTGCAGGAGTGGCCCCCTGTTCTCTGATGTAACCTGCAAAAGAATTCTCTCATCTCCCCCTGAAAACGGGTCCCAAGGGGCTCATCTGGGAAAGGTTTTCCCAGTGCCCAAAGAAGCATGTCCTCATCCTCAAAGACACAGAACACAGGCAAGCATGCCTTAAATTGGCTTCTCTGCTCTGCACTATGTTGTTCTGCTTCTATAGACACACTGCTGTGTGACTGTCCACAAAAACAAATTTCAGCTGGAGCTGGAGAGATGGCTCCGTGGTCACGGGAACACACTGCTCTCGCAGGACCCCGAGTTCAGATCCTAGCACCTATGTCACCAGGCTCACAATATCCTGTAACTCCAGCTCCAGGGGACCATGCACGTGCCCATACCACACACACACAATGAAAACAAATCTTTAAAAGGAAAACCATTTCTAAGTTAGGTGCGGCCTGAATGAGAACAGCTTCCCATTATTTGAGCGCTTGGTGCCCAGATGGGTAAGAACTGCTATTTGGGAAGGATTAGGAGGTTTGGTCTTCTTGGTGCGCCACCCCCACCCCACCTGGTGTTTGTTGTGTCAACACGCAAGCTCTCTGATTCTCCAGTGCCATGTCTGCTGGTTGCCATACTCACTGCCATGATGTCATGGACTCCAACCCTCTGGAATCATGAGCCCCAAATTCAATGCCAGAAAGCATTGAATTTGGGGCTCAGAAACAGAAAAGTAGCTAAGACAGAAACTGGTCTGAGGGGGTGGGCTCTTGCTGTGACAGACCTGACTATGTGGGGGGTCGGAGGAATGCAGAAGGCTCTGGAACTTCCAACTAGGAAGTGGTTGAACATTGTAAAGGGGGCTTAAATAGGCCGTCTTCGTAGGAGCTTGGAAAACAGTGCTGGGAGCAATGTGGCCTGCGGAGGCCCATCTCAAGAGGATTCAGAGGGAACAATAATAGTGCTGGCCTAGACCCGTTCTTGTGATTATTTATGCAAAGAACATGGTATGTTTGCCTTTCTTATAAAAAAATCTGCTTGAGGCTAAGGTGTTTCGGATTAATCTCACTGCCAGAGAAAATTTCAAGACAGCCTAATATCGATTATGACATGTGGTTACTAGCAACCCCTTCTTATGCAGATCTACAATGAAATAAGGGAAATTGAGGCAAAAAAGAAATATAAAATGTATAGTTGGGGAGAAAGAAAGCACAGGAAATTTAATGCTAGAGCCACGGCTGGTGCTGAAAGAGAGAAGGAAAAAAACGGAATAAAGGGAATGGTGCCTCAAGGTGAGGCCCAGCCAGCTAATGTGCAATCTGGGAAAAGAAAAGGCCTAAGGAATTATGTGTTCCTGGAAAGCACCAACAAATAAAGCGTATGCAATTCAAAGAGGGGGCAGGTGCCATTCTAAGCAAGCGGCAGAATTGGGCATCAAGGAGCACATGGTCCTGGCTGTAGAATCATGAAGGATACAGGAGGTTTTTTTTTTTTTTTACGAGACAGGGTTTCTCTGTATTGTTTTTGAGGCTGTCGGTCCAGCCTGGCCTCGAACTCACAGAGATCCCCCTGCCTCTGCCTCCCGAGTGCTGGGATTAAAGGCGTGCGCCACCACCGCCTGGCAGGATACAGGAGTTTAAGGAGAGCCACGAGGTCAGCTGTGTGGCTGGGGAGTCCCTGCATGCAGGATCTGAGAGGCCACTGTGGGAAGCTGTCAAAGTGAAGCCTGGGCTGTGCTGGAGATGCCTCAGGCGTGGGATACCTGCGGAGGAGCACTGCGGACAGGATGGGACGGGGTGGAGCCAGCTCAGAAGCAAGCCGCCAGAGAAGAGCCAGCAAAACCCGCTGGCGGCAGACAGGCTTGAAGATTTCAAGTCTGCCGCTTCCTCCCTTCCCTGGAATGATAATGCATGTTCCGTGCATTTTATATTGGAAGTATGTAATGTGCTTTTTGATCTTACAGAGGGTTACAATTAAGAGACTGCCTTGAATCTCAGAAATAGACTTTAGACTTTAAACAGTCTTGAGTCTGAAAGAGTACAGGGATTTTTAAAGTTGAACTAGGCAATTTTTGCATTATGATAGAGCTGCAAGCCTATGGGAATGGAAAGCCAACAGAATGGCTCCTAGGCTCATACAGTGACTATGTGGTTCCACTTGGTGGAACCGTTTGTGCGGGAAGGATTATGGGGTGTGGTCTTGTTGGAGGAGGTGTGTCACTGGGAATGGGCCAGTCCTACTTGGTGCCCCTTTTCTCTCACTGCCTGTGGTTGTTATTTTAACAAGTAAGCTCAGCTACTGCTCCAGTGCCGTCTGCCTGCTGCCCGTCTCCACGACAGCCATGGGCTCTAACCCTCTGCAACTCTGAGCCCCCAAATTAAATGCTTGCTTTGGTTGTGGTGCGTTTTCATCGCAACAGAAAAGTATTTTTCTGTTTATAAGGCCTCTACTTTAGAATGTTCTTGTACTATGTAGAACTTACTTTAAATGGTTCTGATGACACATAGTTGTAGACATTGAATTTAAGGCCCGTCTGACTCAACAAAACCAAGGGTGGGGTTATAACTCAGTTGTGGAGGGCTCACCTGGCACACAAACATATTTACAGGCCACTCTAAGATTAACTGTACCGATGCAAAATGACAGAGAAATTCAATTGGCATCTTCTGAGCACCCTCCACACTTATGTCCATGCCTAGGACTGTGCTAAGATGTCTGTGTCTCTTCCAGTGAAGAACAAAGTACAGATCTGTGCCCTGTGCTTCTGTACCGAGGATGACAAATGCAAGGCTTATGGTAGACGCGGGGACATCGTACATTCACATACTCAGCTGCCCCCCCCACTCACCTTTCACCTCTGCCCCGGCTGATTTCTGACCACAGGATGTGGACGCCAGTTTCTCCTCATCGGTAGCGTGGCCGTCCCTATTAGAAATGTCTGAGAGCTGTGAAATCACGGCTCCTTCGTCCTGGGAAAGGCAACAGAGAAGACAGTCTTCAGAAGGGCAGTCGTGGTGACCAGGGACATTTCTAGAGTGCAGCTGGGACTGCGTGAGGGTATTTCAGGTTTGCCACAGGTCCAGCTACAAAACTAGGAGAAACCATTAGCCTTGTAAACATGAAAGGCTGTTTCTAGGACTTCACTTCCGTGCTTGGATCTGAGTTTTTTTTTTTCTGAGACAGGGTTTCTCTGTATTGTTTTGGAGGCTGTCCTGGAGCTCGCTCTGTAGGCCAGGCTGGCCTCGAACTCACAGAGATCCGCCTACCTCTGCCTCCCAAGTGCCGGGATTAAAGGCGTGTGCCACCAACGCCCAGCTTGGATCTGAAATTTTAAAAGGCGTGCTTTTCTAACCTAAACATGGAAGTTTAAGCACTTCAGGAGCGCTGAGGTAAGAGGTCCAGTTTTTCTTGCACACATTCCCCCTCCATAGTTCAAGTACACTTACTTCATTGTGCCGTAACTGGATATTTATTAACTACTCCATATATTCATATATGTATATCATACATCACCAGGATGAAATAAGAATCGGTCTCAATATAATTTCTGGATTCCATCTTTATAATTATAACCAGTAGGAAGCTGCCAAGGGCATGACAAGATCTGTTGCTGACTATTAACAAGATGAAGAGAAAGGAAGTTTTGTTTTAGTCTCTCAACTCTCTGAATGCTTTTCCAGGTTCAATGTCCTGGCTCTCTTCAGACTTATTTCCAGGTCCTCCATTCTGTTGAAGGCAACAAATTGGAGAGCCACCTGAGCCTTAATAAATATGAAAATCTATCCAGTTATGAGTCAGCACCCTTTACAGAACTGATACTAAAACTTCACAACACCGGTGACCCGGAGAGCTGGGCATTGTGGTGAAACAATAGAAATGCCCCCTGCCCAGTGACAGTCATTGTGAGATTGTCTTTTCCTTCTTTTTAATGATTTTTTTTTTTTTTTTTTTTTTTTGGTTTTTCGAGACAGGGTTTCTCTGTATGGTTTTGGAGGCTGTCCTGGAACTCGCTCTATAGACCAGGCTGGCCTCGAACCCACAGAGATCCGCCTACCTCTGCCTCCCAAGTGCTGGTTTTAAAGGCATGCGCCACCAACACCCGGCCTAATGATTTTTTTTTAAATAGATCTTTATTTGATATATATGCCTGCATATATGGCTGGACACCAGAAGAGGGCAGCAGATCTCATTGTAGACAGTTGTGAGCCACCATGTGGTTTCTGGGAATTGAACTCAGGTCCTCTGGAAGAGCAGTCACTGCTCTTAACCTCTGAGCCATCTCTCCAGCCCTTAATGATTTATTTTTATTTCAAGTGCATTGGTGTTTTGCTTGCATGTATGTCTGTATGAGGGTGTCAGATCCCCTGAAACTGGAGTTATAGACAGTTGTGAGCTGCCATGTGGGTGCTGGGAATTGAACCTGGGTCCTCTGGAAGGGCAGCCTGTGCTCCTAACCACTGAGCCGTCTCCCTAAGCCCTGAGCTATCTTTCCCTTCAGACCTTCCTGGATGAGTTTGGGATAATAAGGATCTAATAACTGGTTTCTTTAGGTCTGAGTCCTCAGACACCCCCACGGGACAAAACCCATTCTGGAGACCAGCACAGACTTACCTGAGAACACGTATCCAAATCGAGAGACTGAGTTTCGTATTTCTTCACCTTGCAGCCACTCCTGGAAATGAGAGGAACAGACAAGCCAGTTTGGAATCTCGGTGACAACTCTCAGGCATGAGATGGAGCAGGGCACAGGGCGGAGCACAGAAGCCAAAGCGCACAGCACCACGCGGCCATACACTTGCATGTGGAGCTGTGGAGACAATGCGAACCCTAGAGACCCAGGGCCGGGCTCATTCTCCAGCAAAACCGCCACACTCAGCTCCACAGATTGCCAGACACCACAACTCTGAACCCCGCATGTTTAATTACACACCACACACAAAAAAAAAACCTTCCCGAGACTCTGAGAACCTCTACGGACAGCCTCAGCAGCTACAGACATTGGTTATGATCTTTACAAGCTTGGTTTTGGCGTTCATCAGAAAAATTACCACGCTGGACCAGATTCTTTGAAAAGTCTTTATTGCACTAAAAGCCACAACAATCTCCAAAGACAGTACCAGCCTAGGCTTGGGCGCTTACAGAAAGGAACTATGGCCAAGAGAAAGTATTGAAGAAAACAGTAAACAAATTGTTACCATTCTTAGGTAATGAAGTAGGAAAAAAGACCATGTAGTGTACAGTGCCCAGAGCTGAGGAAAACATGGCCATCTTATTGTTAGTCTAATACATAATATGTGATCACAGAATCACTATTACAGAATCTCCTAAGTTTTAATCAACTTAAAATATCCAGGGGGGGGGGACCCACACCATTCTGACCAATTTGTTTTCCTTTCATGGAAAAAGAGAAAACACAGACAAGTATATAAATTACCAGAGTGTACAAGGTCACTAATTCATGGTCTTCTTCACCTACTGTTCTAAGTGTCACCAAACTTAAGTTTACTTGGTAAAACTTATTACCTGCTCTAAGACAGCAGCCTCATCCCCACAAAAAACAAAAAGCAAAAAAACAAAAACACCAAAACCCTAATTATTCCCAGCAGCGAGTGCAGAGCAGGCCATCAAATCAATCACTCCTGCATGATTGGGGTCAAGCCAGCTTTCGGCTCAAAGTGCCACACGACGCATGCTAAGTAAGCCAGGGGCGCGAGCTTTTTGCACCCGAGGTGGAAAAAGCAGTATCCACTCCTTTAGGTACAGACAATTGCAAGGGTAAGCTGACTAAGATGAGGCAAATGGAATGCAAAAAAAAAAAAAAAAAATTTATCAGAAGGTCCAAATAATGGCAAGGGCAAAGAGAAGCCAACATGCAGGGGAGAGGCAGAGGTGGGAGAGGAGACCGCCAAGAGTCCCAGGGACAGACAGAACCTACAGCAGAGGTACTTACAACAGAAAACAGAGAAATTTCACTTGCTCAGTAGTCCTGATGCATCAACAGAATTAGAGACAGGAAAGAGACACAGATGGAAAAGAATCATGTGAAAACTAGAACATTTATCTTTTGTCTGGCAGATGTCAAAGTTGCACAGTTCTTGATATCATGTGAGATACAAATTTAAAACATGTCCAAGCCCGGAAAGGTGGTGCATGGCTTTAAGTCCAGCACTCGGCAGGCTGATCTCTGGGAGTTCAAGGCCAACCTGATCTACAAAGCCAGCTCCCAGTCAGCCAGGGCTACACAGTGAGACCTTGCTTCAAAACAAACAAAATGCCAAAACCAAAATATTAGAATAGAAAAAGACGTATGCATGAATGTTAGCCCTTGCGAATGAATGGTAACAAGACCTCAGCTTTAACAAAGTAGAGAGAGAGAGAGAGAGACAAACACTGAGAAATGTTTTATGTTCAGATTTATGGATGAGAAGTAAGCCCCTCCCTGATTATAAGTGTACATGCATATAGAAACAACACTTCACTAATGAGCACGCTCCCTCTAATTGTGCAATGCCTGAACAAAAAAAAAAAACAAAAACAAAAACAAAACCACAGTTGGAAAGACACCTGGCTGACTCCACCACTGTCAGTGTCACTAAGAAACTTGAAGTGAGCTAAGGCAGCAGGGTAAAAAGTTAGAGGCTAGCCTGAATGTTACAAAGCGACACTCTACCAAGGAAGTGTAGACCGACTTCACATCATTTATATTATTTGCTTTGCAAAATCCTAACCATACTGCATTGTCTCTATTTAGAAACGTCTTTTCGAATGTTCCCAAAAGCTAACTGTCCACTGCGGATGTTAAACCCGCGATGAGTCCGTCTTTTCAAAGTGCGGGGACTCTGCTCTCAAAGTCCCAACATGGCACAAGAGCTCAAGCACTCTCTCCTTATAAGAAAAGAGTGCCGACTGGGTACAAACCCTTTCATTGAGTCTGTGTGATCTATTAGAGCAACACACTTATTCCACAAAAATGAAGAGTAACAAAGGCCACCAGGTGACGATGACAGGACTCAAAAGTGGGCACCGAACACAAGGAACAACGCCAGTGTTTCACTAACACTTCCTCCTGCAGCTGGGAAGAAGGCGCCGAAGGTCCAAGGCTTTGGCAGGCATCTAGGAGACGAAGTACCAAGGCAGCCACACACCAGGATGTACCCCAAGTGCTGTCCAGACACAGCTACCTAACCGTCAAGGTCAAGAGAGGTCTGCACACACAATCAGTAACAGTTTTCAAAGCCATTTCATTGTGCCTATGTAACCCGAGAGCAGACTTAGAACTACTCCTGTCACTTTAATCCCCTTAAACATACCACCAACACTCAGGAGAACCGATTGCTGTATGGGTTAACTTTCTTGGTCTCAAAGTTAGCATTTTTACTCTTTAACCTTCTGGATATTTTTCTTTCCAATGTAACTCACAAACAGGTGTTTTTAAGACAGTAATGTTGAAGAGCATTTCCTGGGACTGCAGAGATGGTTCAGCAGTTAAGAGCACTGGCTGCTTTTCCATAGGACCCATGTTCAATTCCCAGTGTCCACATTGCAGCTCATGGCTGTGTATAACTCCAATTCAAGAGGACCTGATGCCCTCATCTGCCCTCTGCAGGTACCAGGCATGAAACTTGTACATAGACATACATTCAAGCAAAATACCCAAATTTCTCGAATCAATCTAACAACAGTCACAAACACACTTCCTTTCAGCATTTTATTTATCCTCTGAATCACTAGCCCCTGCATCTAATTTTTCACAAGATATCCTAGCGTTATAAATGTGTATACTATCTTTTATTCAACTTGAGTTTCCTGATCATATAACCTTATATCAAAATTAAAAACCTGGCGTAAAATATGGCCTGAGGGATTACTCTGGGAACTCCCAAACTAATAAAGGTTCATTCCTGTTTCCCAGGAGAAAGTAGGAGGTAGAAGGAACACAAAACAAATTTACCCAGACTTAACCAGTCATTTAGAATAATCTCATCATGGAAATTCACCAATGAACTACAAACACACAAGGAAGCAAGAATTCTCATCACTACCACCAATAAAAATCACAACTTTCCATTCTCTAAGACTGTTCTGGGTCATTTCTGACATTGCTGACCTTAGACAGATAATTCTGGAATGTAAAGATGGTGACATTTGAATTCTATGTACAATGTGATTCCTGGGAACCTCAAATCTTTACTTGATTTCTTTTAAACAATTTTAAAAAAAGGGATCCAAGGTGGGGGGGGGAGTGACCTTAATAAGTCAAGGACGCAGAGATAAAGCAGAAATCAACAGGGAAACTTCTGATGCTTCCAAATGCACAGAAGAGTTAGGCAAAGGGACAAAGACTACAGAGTAAAGTGTCCCCCACTGTACCACCAACATTTATGAGTGCAAGTCACAGAAACCAGAAGTAGCTGCCAAACTCCAAACTCCCAAAGAACACACCAGAGCACCACACCCAGCACCCGCTGTCACTCACGTTATTAAACGCGACTTTGCCTTCTTGGGTGAGTCTAAGATTTCATTAACATGATTACCAGTAGTGGAACAAAAGTTGCTGCTTGTCAGAGCTGTGGTTGGCTTAAAGGGGTCCATAGACTCATCGAAGTTATCTGGGTCAAAGTGGTAGGAGCCTTTGGAGGAGAGGGGTGGGGAGCTCTGCAGAATGGGGCAGCTCCCAGAGGAATTAAAGTTGGGGTGATCCCATCTAGAATCTAGCTTAGCAGACGTTTGGGAGAGTGAGGCATCTTGGACTCTTGGGTCTGCAGGCTGTTCGACATCTACTGCCTGACTGATGCCATCTTTCCGCATGCTGGGCATTAGTTTGTTAGTAGGTTTCCTTGGAAGGTCATTCCTGGCCTCGATATGTTCCCCATCTTCTGTAAAATCATACTCAAGTTTGATAGATGAGTTCCTGGACCCCTCCTGCAGCTCACACCCTGAGCCACTGGTGCCGTTACTAAGAGTGTCCGCAGCTTCTCTCAGGTTAAGGGAAGATTTCTGGGCCCTGGTACCTCTCAGCACACCAGGATGCATGTTCTTAGCCACTTCATCGGGAACCGACAGGGAGGAAGCCTTAGGGAAAGGCAAACCCTCCATGGTCGCTTCCGTTTCAGAGGCATCACCTCCAGCTGTCTTCTTCCTCAGGGAGACAGGCTTGGGCTTTCTTAGCTTGCTTCTGCTGGCCACGGGCTCTCCAGGCTTCAGACCAGCTTCCGTAAAGGCCTCAAATGTAACCGCCATGCCTCCTTCTGTCACTGGCTTTTCCTGAGGAGCTTCTGATGCAGTGGAGGGCAAAGCCTTGCCTGAGAGTGCAGGTTCACGGCCATGAGCTGCTTTTGTTCCCAGAGCAGCTGGGTCATCTGTGGAACTCCTGGTTTCTACTGAAAATGGCCTCACTACTGAGATCTTACTAACATCATGTGGGGTTTCTCCTTTGACATCCTTGACTGAGTGAGAATCAGTGGTCGCCTGTGGTGCCTCATTTTCTGAAGATCTAGAACACGCATCAGATGAACATTTTTCAATTACTTCTGCTATGAACTGCTCATTGGCTTCTTGTGATTCTAGAATAAAAAAGGTAGAAAGAAAACTATTAAAGAATTCTATCACTGGTAAAGAGTCTGCACTGTGTGACTTTACCTCAACAAGCTGCAAGATCTTCCCTCTACTCTTTGTTTGCTTTTTGAGACAGGGTTTCTCTGTGTAGCTTTGGAGCCTATCCTGGAACTCGCTGTGTAGATCAGGGTGGCCTTGAACTCACAGAGATCCGCCTGCCTCTGGGATTAACTGAAGGAACTACTACAAAATTAAATAAACAAATAAATCCTACCATGGCCAGATCATGGTCTACTTTCCTGTAGACACAATAATCAGAAAAAGCCTGTAAAAGGGGAAACAGCAAAAGCAAATAAAGATGAGGTTTCGAGAGTAGGGAGCAGCAGTGTGAGCCTATAACCCAAACACTCGGGAGGCAGAAGCAGGCGGTCATGAGCTGGGAGGCCAGCCTGGGCTACACAGAGAGATTCTGTCTCATGGCTGTAAATACAAATATCCCTTAATTGACTAAGATATAAACCACTAAGAAATACCTTTTTTTTTTCTTTATAACATTTATCTCTAGGCTAGGGGGATAATCCCCTCAACCACTTGTAAACAAAATAATTTCTCAATTTCAGTTTCACAAGAAATAAGCAAATGGGGAATTTCAAACACAAACTAAGTTCTTCTCTGACTCCGACTTCAAACAACGGTTTATCAACAGAAACTAAGTGAGCTGGCGTTCCTCTCACTTGAAGACTCCCTCAGGCTACTTCCTGAGCAGGTCACCACTGTCTTATGGCACTCACACATTCGTGTGTGTGTGACACCCACTGTGTGTGTAGCTCTGGGTTGGCCCAGAACTCATTCCATAGCCAGCTCCTCCCCACTGCCAGGATTGACTGTAACCACACGGGGACGTATCAGCTGCACGCCGACAATGTTTCAGGTACTCTACTCTCCAGGGGTCTGTGGAAAGGAGCTTACTGTACTACTACCCTATAACCTCAAACTTTTCCATACACTTAATCATAAAAACACTTGCAAATAAAAACCATCACACCCCCAAATTAACTAGACCCTATGTCCATATATCTCAATGAACAAACACAGTTAGCATGTCATTTAGAATTGGAAGCTGCAGAGCGTCACATCACATTTTATACTTCCACTATCAAAAGAAAAAATCCATGACAAAGTTGGAACTAGGAAAACAATTAGCTTTTCATCTGAAGACCAGGAGGAGGAAGAGGAAGAAGTGTGTCATACACAAACTTCTCAGGAGGATGCTGTGTGTACTGACTTTTTCACATGTTGAGCTACTGTGGGTGTGTTATGGATTGTTCAACTGAAGCTGAGAAATGGGAAGGGAAGACCAAAAAAGAAAAGCCCCATCAGACACCGAGGGCCGGGTAGACATGACACATCCCTGCAATCTCAGCTACCAGACGGCAGAGGCAGGAGCATCACTACAAGTTTAAGGGCAGCATGCAGGCAAAATACCAATGCACATAAGGTTAAAAAAAAAAAGTTGTTTTTTAAAAAGGTAGGTGAACTGCTCAAAATTTTCAGCAATTCAGCTTTACAACACATTTTCCCCTACCCTTTCTAGATGAGGCGGTCTTCCAATGAGGCAGACGGAAGAATACTGATTAAATAATTAGCACAGGAGTGGGAAGAGAAAGGGAAGACAGGAACGGCTCCCTGCAGAGCCCAGCAAGCCTTCTTTCTCAAAGTCCAGTTTCACCCTGAGATTCCATCAGTTGGAGTTTAGCTCACCCTGCTGCGGCGGGGGAACGCACTGAAATGAACAAAACTGAAATGTACTCTGGGGCTTCCAAGAAAGCGCTGCTAATCAACCCAAAGTTAAACAGCACCGGGAGAAAACGAGGAGGCGGGGCTGGTGGGGCTGGTGATGGGCAGGACATGGAGTGAGGCTGGAGGTATCAGAGGCGGCTCAAACTAAAGGAAGGCCAGTTTGGGAAATACCAAAGAAAGAAGATGTCTATTAAAGCCAGCATGCTTTGCCTAAGCAGGCTGATTTAAGGGGCTGGAAGTATTTTGCTAACTGAAGCCAGGGCTACTTGATTATCCTTAAAAAAAAAGTCACATTGACTACTATTGAAGAACAAGTGATCACCATCCCACACTTTTAAATCCAAATTGTTAAAATAGATGTCAATTTCTAAGAGTTTACCTGAAAAGGTTAACTCAATTTAAAACCTAAACTTTTTTATCTTTTTCAAGTAGTGATATTATTGATGTAATGGCATTCTCCATACACAGGAAAATGCCCACCTAGATATCTTTAAAAAAGAACACTGAACTAATAATGATTTCTAGAGTTTATTTTAAAAATACTGAAACAAATACGAAAGTAAAAACGGTGCTGGAGAGCATGGCGTAAAACCCTCAGCATGTTTACCATGGATAAGAACACAGACCGCTAACGTGTTTCAGAGGAGACTGCTAATTTTTGATGATTTCTTCCTTTTTATTTTGTGTACTGGTGTTATGACTGCACATACTTCTGGGTGAGGGTGTTGTGGAGTTATAGACAGCTGTGAGCTGCCATGTGGGTACCGGGAATTGAACCCAAATCCTCTGGAAGGGCAGCCAAAGCTCTTAATGGCTGATCCATCTCTCCAGCCCCTGGTAATGGTAATTTTATGAGTTTGGGATGTTAGGACTATAGTTCAACCACAGAACATTCATAATTCACAAGGCCCTGGGTTCAATCTCCAACATGAAGAATGGAAGAAAAGGAAATGGAAAAAAAATGAAATGGTTTCTATTGTTATTTTATGTTATTTTAGTCATGTAATGTAAATCTGTGTCGTCTGCCATTCTTCGATCTCCACTCCCAAACACTCCAGTCCTCCAAGCTCCTGTGAGCTGGGCAAAACCTGTGGTTGAGGCCAAAATACGGCCAGGGAAGGAGCCAGGAGCTGAGAGGCCCTTTCCCCATTAGCCAGTGACTCCCACACACATCAGCTTCTGGAGCTCTTTTCTCAGAAGACACCCCAAGGCCTTCACTATCAATCCCTCATCTCGGAGAAGTTGCCTAACAGTAGCCTTTTGCTTTTCCCTACTGTCTCTCCTCACCCTACACCTAAGGGTGCGGTGCTGCTACACAGGGAAAGGAACCAAAGGGCTTGGTGTGAAAGAGCTGCCCCCCACATGCTGCTTTTTACTGTCCCACGTCCAAATCAGCAGCGTCTGTGTCCTCATCACCCATGTTGGTTAGGAACTGGAAGCTTTAAGAATGTTTGGGTATCTATCACAGGGCAGGGAATGGGGAAAGGAAAAAATTCGGCACAGAGTACCCTCACCCAGCTGAAGGAACCCTGTCAAGGGGCATCCTCCTCCCTGGTCATTTCTTGGCCACCTCAAGGCATGTGCCAAGTAAATGAACCCGTCCATCCCTTCATCTAGCCACTGTGGATACCACTTTCAACAATACATCTCAGCACCAGTAAAAGATCCCACAAGGTAGTGAGTATTAATTTTCAATTAACCAGTTTGTGAAGCTGTACAAATATAAAAGCAAACATAAAAACATTATCAGCTAGGTCACACCTCTAAACCCAGCAGGCTCCGGATCTCTGAGTTCAAGGCCAACCTGATCTACAATGTGACCTCCAGGACAGCCAGGGCTACACAGAGAAACATGTCGAAGAAACAAACAAATAAAATTATCCTCTCTTTGAAAAGGAGTAATTCGTAAGTTTTATTTGCACCTATACCACCAACAGGCAAGTGTCCCAGCAGCAGCTGCCAAGCACACCTACCTCTGCCCTAGGACAGAAACTTCAAGTCTAACAGCACACCCTTGTCAGGGATGAATAAAAAAAAATATCTGCTACCCCAGTTTTAGGCCGGTTTTAGCCAGAGATCTGGCCTTGTTTCTCTTCTGAAAGCAGTTACGTAACAGCTGATCTACCTCACAGGCCTTATGCTCACATAGGCTCACACAGAAACCCGACATTCCTTGCCGGGTGGCAGGAGGCTCCTTCCCCAGAGCCAGTGTGAGTGATGAGCTTGATTCTGACACGCTGGGCTCTGTCAGAGGCTGGGGGAACTCAGCCACCAGGAATGGGTCAGGAGATAAATTCAAAGCAAGCCCATAGGGGATCCAGAACCAAGGGTGCGGCCTGTCCTGCCACTTTTGCTACTAGCGGAACTCCTTCAAAACAAAGGCCTGCGAGCCCCTCTGCTTTTCGGCATTAGATGCTTCTGACACTTACTCAACATGAAGACTATTATGGAAGACTTCTTCACTCCCTCTTTAAAATACTGATAACAGGAAGGTCAGGGCATGCCAGAATAGTAAGATTGAGATGTCTAAAGTTCTATTCTAGAGTGTATACTAAAAATTTGGGGTTAAAATACAAGTGTGTGGAAGTCTTTTTGAAACCTTAGAAAAAAAGCAAACATCATCACAAAAAAATGTACTAAGAAAATGTACTGTGTCTGTATGTGGGTGCATGATTTGTATGTGTGGGCATGTGTAATACACACGTCATGTGGAAGTCTGGGAACAACTCTGTGGGATGAACTCTCTCCTTCCACTTTGACATGGGTCCCAGGGACTGGATTGGTCACCAGGCTTACAGACAACTCCCTTCCCCGATGAACCTGCTGTTTGGTTTTAATCACACCTGGGGTGGGGGTGCACACTACGGCCTGCCTGTGTAGTCAGAGGACTATCCAAAGGAGTTGGTTTTCTCCGTCCACATAGTTCCTAAGGACTAAACTCAGCTTGTCAGGCTAGGCAGGAAAAACTACTAGTACGGAGCCACCTCTCCTGACTTGTTTTTGGAAAAAGGTTTCACTCTGTAGCCCAGGATAGCTTCCAACTTGTGGCAGTCCTCCTGCCTCAGCCTCACAAGGCTGGAATTACAGGTATGCGCCACCATTTTGGCCTCACAAAGTGTTTTTGTAATTCAGAGAACCGCTTGAAATTCAACAGAACCCTACCGTGTAGGCTGCTTTCGTATGCATAACCTCAGCTAGGAAAAGATAC